GCACCGAAATGAATGTCTTCAAACGTATGGTTACTCCTGACATGCTTATATGTTGGGTACAGTGAGATCGGCTTTCCTAGAGAAAAGGCATGCTTGTGTTTTGTTTGCATTGAAATCTACCAAGTTATTGGATCCGCATACTAGAATTGTTGCCAAGTCCATATTTATGTTGTCAAGATTACTCCCTCGTTCGTTTCTGATTTTCCTGGCTGGTATTGGAGCCCTGGGAGAGAAGGCGGTATGGAGGGTAGGTACTATCATCCGCGAAGCTGTGTACTGGACATGAAGTTGCTTTCAACAAATCGTCGATATGGAGTAGAAATAGTGTTGGTGCTAATTGATCCTTGCGGAACACTAGCATTCATGGTAAGAGAAGAGAGTCAGATGAAACTCCGTCGACCACTATACATGGAGAGACCTGTTTGAGAGAAAACTAGCTAGCAGAGAACAAAGCTTGGGAGGCAAGCCATAAGATGGAAGCTTGGCGAGGAGTCCGTGGTGCCCGACTCGATCGAATGCCTTGGAGATATCAAGTACCACGGCTAAGGTTTCACCATATTTTTCAATAGATTGCTGCCATATATAGGAGACGTAAGCGAGTAGGTCCATGATCTTCGAAATAATAGAAAGCAGTGCGATCGGTCTGTAGTTGCCAGGTATATAGGGTCTTTTTGCGTTTTTTAGGAAGGGTTTTGTCTGCAATTTCGCTGTTTTTCTCTTTAGTGCTCCTATGTCACTTAATGATGATGATGAAGGTTTGAAGCTTCGAGACATGACCCTATGAATGGCTTATATTGAAGTATAGTTTTGGTGGAGTATAATAGACTGTATGAATTTCGCCCTGTTTTATTATTTCTGTAAATATAAAACATTTGGATGCAGCATTAACGAAAAATCATTTCCCTGTTATACATAGTTTATGCTCAAGTTCGAGATGTTATATAATATACTTGTGTAATCAAACATTCCAATTTTCAAATCAACGTCGAAATACTTCCTGTGGAAGAAAGAAAGGATTCAGATATTAGTTAAGACTCCAAATCCTCGAAACGTCCTTTGAAAACCGACATCGCAGCGGCTTCATTCAATTCACCCCTAGATATACTTAGTCGAAATAGATGCAATGCTCGATACTTCTATATTGAGCATTACAGGAATTTGCTTGAGAGAAAATTGAGCGAGATTCACCGAAATATTAATTTAAATTTTGCGGCTATTCAGGAAAACGCTGAACGAGAAATAATTCCGTCATTATTGTATTGGAATCTTACGGAGCGGTTTTGGGATTAATTTGATCGCTTTTACTTTCGGAGATCTGCAAAAGATGTTGATGTAGGCGAAATGGGATTTAATGGAGGTTACATGAATAGGGGCTTATATCTTTGTTCAAAATTCGCATAATCCATACATGGGAGTCTTATTCAACTTGTATTAATTCGTTTCACTCATTTAATTGCTCAAGCGTGAGAATTAATAATATATAGGTATAGGGAGAATAATGTGTAGAATTCTATTGAAAATTTCACACCAAACATTTTCGATCAATTTAAAGCCTATATATTTCGTATCGTTCCCGTAGCAACTGAAAACTGGAAATTTTTTCCTCCTCCTTTGGGGGACGGGGCATGAAATTACACTAGACATTTTTTGACGTTTATAGGTTAAATGTCATTTACATTCAACTTCAGATTATTTCGAGTTCATTATATAAGTCAATGAATAAAAATCATTTATCAACAATTTACCATATAATATTATGTAGGTGTACTTGCAAATTCGAAATTTTCAGAAACACATGTTGTTACTATATATACGTTAGTTCTCACATTCCATCACAAACAACCATCAACATGTAAATTTTCTTACCGAATACCACTTTAGCTTCAATTCATATCCGGGAATTTTTTAAGATATATATCGACGGTGAAAATACATAAAGGCGTATCTCATTTTTTGTAACTTTTCAGTAGAGCCATTTGAAGAAAAGGGTCTTACCTAATTCCAGCATAAGTGGCAATGTTTTGAGAATAATTCTCTCATATTTCTAGTGTTATGTTCAGAAATACTCAATAGTTGTTAGAATAATTGAAAATTGGTATTTTGCTCAGTATTTTTAATAATATTAGCAATAATTTGAGATACGTCTGTAAGTTTCGCTGATAACAAAAATTGCAGCCTCAACTCTTGAGATACGCCCTTCTCAGTTGAGTGGTAAAAAATGAATATATAAGGGAAATAACTGTTCGATAATTTAAAAACAACATTCAGTCAATGGTTTCATTATTCAAAGTTTATTAGCCTCAAAACAATATTTTCGTCTACAAAATTGAAATAAGTTGGCGAGAAAGTGATATTACAATCACCTCTAGCCATAAGAAATGAGATAAGTATCCCAACTTGAGAAATATCTTCATCAATAACAAAAACCAAAATACTGAATAAAAATCGACTCATAATGATTGTTAATTTTAAATAATAATGAAGCTTTATAAAATAATAATAAATTGAAATCGTTCAAGTTGTATGAAGACATGACTTATAAAATTGTACATGATCAGGTAACTTTATAACTGGTGTATTGCCTGAGGTAAGAGATATTAAATTATTGTATTTCTCTAGTGAAATTGGGAGAGGCCCTGTACAAGTAGTTAAAAAACTCGAATGACCCATTTGCATTACTCCCTCTATATTTCAACTCGCTCTGGAACAAGAACAAACATGCAGAATTTGAGATACGTTCATAGAAATGTAGCTTTGCTGCATTACCATTATTTGTGACAAACAGGCTTAATTCGAGAAACGCCCCAAAAGCCATTCAAAAATGTATGAGTTTGTGGCGTTTCTCGAGAAACGTCTTTACGTTTTGATATTTCCATTAAATATCAGAGAACCGCCTCGTAATAATTGGACCATGAGATGAAGATGGTATTAGTTAAAGATGCGCCACTTCGTCATAACAAGGAGGGCATAGGGATACGTCCGAATCTGTAACTAACTCATTTTGGCCAAATATTGAGATACGCCTTTATGTATTTTTACCGACGATATAAGGAGAATAACAGTGGTCCTGAAATTGATCCTTGAGGTACTCTAGAATTTACAGATGCGGCCTCTGACATCTCACCATCTAAAATCACTTTTTGTGTACGATTCGCTAGGTAGTTCGAGATAATAGTGACTGCCATAGGAATAAATCCAAAAGAGCTGAGTTTTTTACAGAGTACCTATATCGTGATCGAGTGTGTCAAAGGCCTTACTATAATCTGAAAGCACCAGACAAGTAATTTTTTCACGTCCACCGCGCGGAAAATATATCGTCAGTAATTGAAAGAAGAGCTGTTGTGGTACTATGTTGGGATCCTGATTGAACTGATGTAATTATCTGATGTTGCTCTACAAATGCATTAATTTGATCTTTCAAAATAATTTCTAGAGCTTTAGATAATGAAGGTAGGATGCTTATATCGGTCTGAGATCTGATAAAATCTGCATTTGATAACCTTGATATATGTCAATAACAAAAAAATATTTTCTGTTAACGTGGCCTTATTACCCTACAGAAACTTATATACACGAACTATGATCAATATAAAATACCAAGGTAGATTATGTGATTGAATTCGATTCTAGTGTGTATAATACATATATATAAAATCAAATTTGATGTAATTCAAAATCTGTTAGAATCAAAATATCATTTGAATACTGATCAACTGAGCATCTATTCATATATATATAGGTATAGCCTTATTCTTTTCATAAGTTTTGAGATGAAAAGATACTTGAAGGAAGGATCCATGATTTGAATGATAAAGTGTTACAAAGAGGGAGTGGACTAATGGATATATGTTTAGGGCTTATTATAAGCCCATCGCATCAGGCAAATATACCTAAGTATTTTAAAAATACTAAAATACTAAAAAAATACTCAAAGCCATAATTAAGTAGGTATATACATATTGAAGTTCAGAAACATTAAGTACCTAATATAAGTATGTTACTTATACATGGATAGAAAATTGCTATACATTGCTTGTAATGATGAAAATTAAAATAATTTTGAATGAATGAAAATCGAGAAATCTTGAATTAATGAAAATTTAGGCATTCACGATATTGAAATTATTACAGTGAATAAATATTTGAAATTCTCAAATTTCATGGGTGATCTGATATAGGTATTGCATGTAGGTAATTCCTATAATAATAAGCATATCTAATAATAGGTATATAGTCACGCTTCCATCAGTCATCGTTATCGAGAAACAATCACTTTCTTATCACATCAGTAAGAAACACCCTGTGTGCCAATCCAAATTAATCACCGTTTCGCCAAACAAAACAACAACAATAAACAAAAATAACCAGATTGCAAATTGGACGATTGAAAACTATTTCGCCCGCTGCCGATCGGCCAGCCAATTAATCGAATCCAATTATGATAATTGAACACATCACTACTAATTACCCGCGTTAACTATTTGACAGTAATTGTGAAGCAAAGCACGCGAAAACCACCCGTGTATCAAAACGAAATAGAGTACACAGAGACCAAGCTATTCATCTCCCATCTCCCGCCCGATTACGACCGACTACGCGAAATCCGTCCTTGAAGCCGATTCAATATGGCCGACAGTGCCTTGCGGGTGACCTAACTTACCGATTGGTCGGCGCGCAGACACGCCTATGCTGAGGGGTTCTTTTCACTGGGAATATTAGGGAGTATCTTCGTTCGTAAGAGACCTACAGGACTCGTTTTTCAAATTGGAATAGTCAGTTTACTCTCATATTTAGCCATGTAAAGGTGTGGGCGACTAATGAACCGATGAAAACGCGCCAAAAGTCAATGTTTCTTTTTTTCTAAATACTATGATTCGGTATGATTAGCTGTACGCGCTGAGTTAGCCCCTAGTGAAGGGTTCGGAAGGACTGAGTTTGAGTGGTTGAAATGTGCGCGATCGCTTTCCGACGGTAACCGTTTCTCGACATCTACATCGACAATGCACAATGAAAGTTTGGACAATGATTACAAGACGAAGGGCTTCGGTCTAGAGAACACTATCCACGTGACTGCTCCCAGCATACTGAACAAGCCCTCGCAAACGATGCCTCAGCGGTCGCCATTTGCTATCCAGGAGCTCCTTGGGCTCAGTGACTCCCATCACAGGTCGCCCACGGCTGCCGTGTCTGCCATTACGCCCAATGTGTATCCCCAGCGCCACCATCTGCAGGCGCCCACCTCGTGTTTTCCCTCCGACCATGGGTTCAACCACCACCACATGACCATGGCGGCTAGCCGGATGGCTTATTTCAACGCTCAGGCGGCGGTAGCGGCGGCTTTTTTTCCGAATAATATTGCCGCGGCGGCGGGGATGAACAACGGGGCAGGTTCTCCGGCTGCGGTTTTGGGACTGGCTGCCCATCAGACTGGGGGGTCCGGTGAGTCATTTTGAAAACACTTTTCATCACTATCAGTTGGGTATACATGATGGAAAACATACCTAGTTCTAGTGCAAATAGCACACTGACAAAAAAGATCCTTTCATTCGAAGAAATACGGACCTCATTCAAAGAAATTGTGATCTTGGATATGGCCAAGTGAATGTTCACTTCAAAAACCATCAAAATCCTCTTGCTATAAGATTGTCAGAATATCTTGCTGGAAAGTAATAAGTATTTGTCTCAGGAATACAATCTTCAGGTACCTAATCGGTTTGATTGTCCCAAGTACTTGATATCTCGAAATTTATTGGCTGAAGAAACATATTCTATTCCATTGAATTCTCACATAACTCAGCCGAAGAATCCAGATTATTCATTGAAGATTATCATGGTTTGAGTGCCAATAAGGGGTTTTTTCCCCCAATAATGAGAATCTTGACAAAATTATAGTGAACCTTGATTGAAGATTCCTCGAGTTTATTAGAGATTTGAGATTCTTTCTTTGAAATTTGTTGCACTATGTCTTAAGTAATGCCATACTCTTGATCCGAGAGTAAGGGTTTCTGAAATTGGGGGCTCCTTTATTTGATTCAAGGTAGGTACTATCCCAAAAAAAAACTATGGTTTAACCTTTTTTCGAAAACATTTATTTTCATATTTGTGGGCGTGAAAAATAAAAACGACTGATTATATATGTATTACTATATATGAAATACACACAATATTGTATAGGTACTCGATCAATATACTAGATTATACAAAAACTTCAAACTTTTGACGTAAAACATAGTCAAATTCCAACAAACCTGATGAGGTCTCTGATGCTCAAATTTTCAGTTTGATTCCATCTTTTATATAGTCGGATGATGTTGCCTATGTGACCTTCCATCAGGTCGCATTTATTTGAACTTCTGTTGGAAATGGCAGGATATTTTCTATGCTTTGATCTAAAATTCAAAATGAATAATTTCAATAATTGGGAGTTTGATACAATAGAGTTTTACTATACCTATGTATACAGGTCATACGCAACATTCAATGCCTGATTCATATCTGCAAATATTAAATATTTCATTGCCACCTCATCTCAAGTTTTGTTTTATGAACGCATCGTCAGGATCATTGCTATCAACTGAAGTAGATGAAAAGCTGATGAAATAAATTTTATTTTGAAACAAGGTACCAGCTCTTGGATCAAGTAACTATTCTACTGATTGAGGCATGTCCATCAACATGGATGGAAAGAAACAAGTAACCGTGGAAAGAGACGCCATTTAACGATTTCATCATGCTAAATTTTTTCTTCAACATACCTATTACATCTTGATAACACAACGATGAATATATTCTTATTCTTTGAACTTCATTATGTGTATTAGAGATAATTGATTTATTATTGAAACTTTAACACATACCTACTTGATCATTATAATTCAAATACCTCAAATGTTTCCAAATTCCAACAAGTCAGGCAGCTTTAGACTTGAACTCAAGAAATGTTTGTAGTTGGTGGAACCATCTTTCAAAATAATTATTGACGATACTCGAAAACACAAACACACAATATCAGAAACAGCACAAAATATGCAGTAATGATAATGAAACGGACATTCACACTATACAGAGTACTGAGGCTCAACTGATTCTTCGTTGGCTACTCGAAGTGCCCTATCGAGGGCGCTGTGTAGTGTGTATCGCCCTAATTTTTCATAAAATTCTCGGATATTCCACCAAGGTAAATGATTCTTGTTTCAAGTAGCAAGAGCTAGATAATTGTAGGATTAGACAATGTTCCTGTGGCAAGAGAAAATTATCCCCATTGAAAGACATTCATTTAAGAGGACTTTCAGAAAATATCAAGAACCATCATGGATTTCTCCGGATTTCTCAGAACAAAGAGATTTTTCTCCATGCAAAATATTTACTGTTTGTACTAGAAAATTTATATCAAGATCACAGAATACCTTGACTCAAGTGGAGCTGTTTTTTCAGTGCATAATCAGTATTGTGGTATAATGAGTGATTGTCTCTAAACAATTTAGTAATGAAAACACCATGCACGGTCATACTTATATCGAGATCCATTCACATTTGGCATTGTTATATTAGCTTATCTATAGCTGGAAAAAATATATCTATCTAACTTATTGCTCAGCCCAAGGCGCCTCATCCTCAGAGAGCCCCGAAGGACCGACAATTTCTCTCATATATTCATATTTTGGTCGAGCACGCCAGTACCAAACTATAACAGCGCCACCTCGAGCGCCACCGTCAAAATTGCTGTCATATCCATATAGTGTTTATTTGATTACCCATGTTATTATAGAAAATCATAATATCAAAATATTATAGTAAGAATTCGCTATCTTTATTTGCCAAAAGGGCCCAAAAGAGCTCCAGCATAGTTTAAGATGCGCGGCCTTGCTCCTATAATATACTTAAATATTGATTATGAACACTATACGTTTTGGGGTGTGATCTCAACAAGAAGAACCAGTTAGTATTTTTAGTAAATGTATCAGTGTATGATGTCAAACATTGGTCAGCATATCGTGATGACGAATTTACAAAAGTTTTTGGCAAGTCAAGAAAGAATACAAATAAATGGAGACTAAACATGAAAATATACACAATTCAGAACAGAATCACGAGCAAAGTTAACAAGAACATAAACTAGCTAAGCGTTTTCCAGTGGATAAGGTAGAACATTGTATTCAGTTCAGATCTAAAGAATTCTTCAGTAATTTAGACAGTTTAAAGCGGGATAATCTAAGATTATCCGCATTTCTGGTTTGGTAATTATGTATATTTTAATAGAAATTTTGAAGAAATACAATAAATATTCAAGATGCTAACAAGGATTCAAAGGTTCGAGAAAAAGTACGTTTTGAGTTCATTTACAAAGGTGGTAAATGAATTACAGAATATATCAATATCAATCAGATTTGATATTGAATTATAGCTTTTGACAGCGATGATGGGGGGAGTTCAAATAGTAATTTGTGTTGGCCGCTTTTGTGTAAAATAATTGATGACTTCGAGTGGATTATTGCCGCACGTTAGATTGGATGGAATTATTAATTGGGATTGAGTGTATCATGAGGAGAATTGAATGTCTCTTCTATTTTCGAGACTAAGTAAATTCAACTTTCTGTTCATAAAAGTTCTATCGACATGAGGCGTGTTACGAAATATTTATTCTCAATATATAGTGTATGAATTTGTTTTGAATACATCTCCAGTTGTTTTATGTAAATAATGTACTGATGGGGATTCCAGATTGTAGAGGCATAACTTAAGGTTTAAGGTGCTATTGACATAGGACATGAAAATGATACGAGCAATTTCAGGATCTTAAAAATTATAACATGATCTGATAATGAAACCTATATAGCATCATATATTTGCCTTTTTAGAAATATATGCGATATGCTTGTGGCTCAACATTTTTGTATTGTATTGTATCTTTCACCTCAATGAGAATATCGAGTATATGATTCGATAGTCTGTAATTAAAAATTATTGGATCATCATTTCTACTGAATGTGATCTGATGGCATTTGTTGAAATGCAGATATAGAGCGTTTTCCAAGGCATTTTCTGTGTAATATGAATAAAATCTGTCTATTATATCTTGTTGGATCAAGAAAGCGTCGAGTGGTTTTTATACACTGTGGAAGATCTTTAAATCATCAGTATACATTATAAATCTCGAGAACTTGAAACATTTCGAAATATCATTTATGTATAAGTTGAACAGAAGGGGCCCTAGATGCGAACCTTGGGGTACCCTGGAAGTTATCGATTGCCTGAGAGCGATTGTTAACGTATGATTCGAACCAACTCAAAAGTGTTTCACTAACACCAACCTCAGCCAGATTGAGAACAAGCAACCCATGGTCTATCTTGTCGAAAGCCTTACTAAAGTCGGTGAAAACTGCGTCCACTTGATTCATATTGTTTAGGTTCTCGAGTACATATACCGACATATACTCATCAGTAAAGTCAAATAAATTTGTTTCTACTGATCTTTCCCAATGAATCCGTGTTGTTCGATGTTGAGAATACCATAGATCTTTAGATCTATATGAGAATACCATTGATGTCATAACTCAGAAATTCGAATATTATTGGTTCAAATAATTTGGCAAGGATGTAGAGTTTAGATACTGATGATGGCCTGTAGTTCTGAACTAGTTTCCCGATTTATGGATTGGGACGATGAATGCCCGTTTCCATATCTTCGGGAAATATTCTTTCTTCAAGGATTTATTGTGAGGTTTGTGAGTGTTGTGAGGTTTTCAGCACAACTTTTAATGAAATCGCTGGAGAGATTGTCTGGTCCAGGCCCTCTTTTAGAAACATTTTTGAGGTTTTCGAACATTTTGTCTACTGTGATGTGATGATTTTCAATATTGGGTGTGTTATGATTTACGACTGGTCTTTTATTCAGTGAAGGTTGATGAAAAGTGTTCTGAAAATATATTACAGATATTTTGACATTTTCGTTATGTTCAATTAGTGAACTATTGTACTAGAGAACATTTTTTCCGATATTGTTTTTGATATTCAAACAACCTCATTACGCTTGATAAACATGAAAAAACTAATTTTCATTAAACTCGTCTACATTGAATTGTATAGATGCCAACCAGATAGCGCCCATTCATTAATTATCCACTTACAGTTTCCTGTTTATTTTAACAGGGTCGAATTAACAAATGATTTCGAGGCGCGCACGTCACTTATTTTACTAATTTGACATAATTACGGTTCGAAAATTCGTCTAGTCATGTAACCGCCTCGTTTTTCCACAGTTCAAACGAGGCTGTGAACACCTGAGAATATATTGTAACGGCTTCAGTATTATTAGGCACTACCATATTATTGTGTGAAGAGTGCATAGCTGTTTCATAGCTTATTGTTATTGTTTTTTCTCAGAAGCGTTATAGAATAAACACGATCTTCCTTTGAGAATGAGTTTGTTGAGGATCATGAATTGAAAATGCAC